AACAGGAAATCAACAGAGATAATCAATGAAAAGAAAAGCTCGTTCTTGGAATAGATCAATACAATCAATTTAAGTCTCCATCCAGGCTGACTTGAAAAATAAGTGAGAGAGAACATAAATTACTAATGTCAGACATGAAAGAGAAAGACATCATTACAGATTCTACGGGCATTAAGAGGATAATAAAGGAACTCCATGAACAACTCTATGGGGATAAATTTGATAAGCTTAGAGACCAATATATATCCTTAACATAGAAACAAAAATCCTCAACTAAATATTAGCAAACTGAATCGAATAGTGTAAAAAAGAACGCATCACAACCAAGTGGAATTTGTCATAGGTATGCATGGCTGGTTTAACTTTTGAGAATGAATTAATAAAATCAAGCACATCAACAGGCTTAAAATGACATGGGGCGCCTGGGTGTCTCAGTTGGTTAAGTGTCCAACTTCGGCTCAGGTCATGATCTCACGGTTTGTGGGTTCAAGCCCCGTCTTGGGTTCTGTGCTGACAGCTCAGAACCTGGAGCCTGATTCCAATTCTGTGTTTCCTCCTCTCTCTGCCTCTCCCTCACTTGCACTCTATCTCACTCTGTCTCTCAAAAGTAAATAAATGTAAAAAAAACAACAACAAAAAACAGGCTAAAAATGACAAATCATGTGATCATATCAACAGATACAGAAAAAGTTATTTGCTAAAATCCAAACTCATCCAATACAAAAACCCAGTAAACTAGGAATGGAGGACATTTTTAAAAAATGAATATCTACAAAAGAAAAGAAAAGAATATCTACAAAAACCTAACAAGAATTAATACTGTTAAAATATCCATATACCCAAAGCAATCTACAAATTCAATGCAATCAACTATCAAAATTCCAATGGCAGTTTATAGAAACAGAACAAACAATCCTAAAATTTATATGGAACTCCTAAAGTCCCCAAATAGCCAATCCAATCTTGAAAAAGAGCAAAGCTGGAGACATCACGCTCCCTGATTTCAAACTATTTTACAATTTTACAAAGCTACAGTAATTAAAACAGTACAGCATTAGCATAAAAACAGGCATATAGATTAATGTAATAGAACAGAGAACTGAAAAATACATCTATACATATATACATTTTATGACAAAGGAGCCAAAAATATAAAATGGAGAAAGGACAGTCTCTTCAACAAACAAAGTTTGGAAAGAACATGAAAAATAATACTAAAATTTCTATGGAACCACAAAAGAACCTCAATAGCCAAAGCAATCATGAGAAAGAACACCAAAGCTAGAGGTATCACAATCCCAGATTTCAAGATATACTAGAAAGCTCTGTAGTAATCAAAGCACTATGGTACTGGCATAAAAACAGACACACAGATCAATGGAACAGAAGAGAGAGACCAGAAATAAAACTATGCTTATATGGTCCATTAATATGACAAAGGAAACAAGAATATACAATAAGGAAAGACAGTCCCTTCAATAAATGGTGCTGAAAAACTCATCAGCTATATGCAAAAGAATGAAACTGGACCACTTTCTTAAACCGTACACAAAAATAAACTCAAAATGGATTAAAGATCTAACTGTGAGATCCAAAACCACAAAACTCCTAAAGAAAACATAGGTAGTCATCTCTTGGACATCAGCCTTATGGATATGTTCCCTTGGGCAAGAGAAACATAAGCAAAAATAAGCTATTGAGACTATATCAAAATAAAAAGCTTTTGCACAGCAAAATGAAAATACAACCTGCTGAATAGAAGATACTTGTAAATGATATATCTGATTAAGAAGCTAATATACAAAATATATAGAGAATTTCTATACCTCAACGTGAAAAACAACAAAAAAACTTCACAAATAGTCTGACTAAACAATAGGCAGATGACCTGAATAAACATTTTTTTCCAAAAACGACATATAGATGGCCAACAGATACATGATAAGACGCTCGACATCACTAATTATCAGGGAAATACAAATCAAACCACAATGAGACATCACCTCACACCTATCCAAATGGCTAGAATCAGAAAGATGACAAATAACAATGTGTTGATTAGGATGTGAAGAAAAGGGAGGCCTTGTGCACAGTTGGTGGGAATGTATGCTGGTGCAGTCACTACAGAAAAACAGTACAGAATTCCTCAAAAAATTAAAATTAAAATTAAAATGACTCTATGATCCAGCAATCCCATTAGTGGGAATATATCCAAAGAAAATGAAGGTAGGATGTCAAAAAGATATCCGTACTCCCATGTGCACTGCAGCAGTCAAGATATGGAAACAACCTAAGTGTCTATCAGTAGATGAATGAATAAAGAAGATGTGGTATATTTATATAGTGGTATATTATTCAGCCATGAGAAAGATAGAAATCCTGCATTTTGTAACATGGATGGACCTGAGGGCATTATGTTAAATGAAATAAGACAGAGAAACACAAATACTATATATCACTTTATGCAGAATCTAAAAGAGCTGAACTTACAGAAACATAAACTAGAAAGATGGTTACCAGGAACTAGGGTACGGTGAAATGGGGAGGTGTTGGTCAAAGAGTATAAACTTCCAGTTAGAAGATGAATAAATTCTGGGGATTGAATGTACATTATGGTGATTACAATCACCATACAATTTTAGTTGAAAAAATATTGAAAGTTGCTAAGAGAGATCTTAAACGTTCTTGCCACCAAAAAGAAATGGTGATTATGTGACATGATGAACATGTTAGCTCAGCTACAGTGGTAATCATTTTACAACATAAAAAGCATATCAAATTAACTTGTATGTCTTAAACTTACACAATGTTATATGTCAATTATATTTCAATAAAGTGGGGAGGAGGGGATGTAAGCAAATAAGTAAGTAAATAAATAAACAAACATACTGATATTTCCTCTTGTGCCTACATGGAAGTGTAACAGGAAGCAAGTACACTTTACTGTCTAATTTTGCAATAATACTTGAAAACTCTTCTAAATTTTATCTAAATTATTTTAGATATAAATATACTTAGATTATGCTTCAGAAATATGCAACTTTTTTAGATTTTCTTATAATCTGATATCTAATTCAAAAATAAAATTCACTTATATTTTCTTACATTAAGAATGGATCATTGACTTTACAAAGAAGAATTAAAAGGTTTGCTTTCTTATCTATAGCTGTTTGTGAAAAGATGAAACTAATACATCAGATATTTCTCTTGACTCATGACAGGAAGACTACTACTCCGAAGGAACTGGGCTAAACTATAAATGAAAGCAAATATGAGGAAAGCTATTTTTCCCCTGGCTTCGTAGACATTAATAATTTAACTTATTGTGCCATATTCAATAGCATGTTTTCAAATACTATTGTAGTGCTAGCTAACTGTGGCATCAATTTGAGACCAATCATTCAGAGTCTAAACAAAAAGGAATTAAATAATTCAAGCATAGATGTAATACATTTATATTTCATCAAGAGAATTATACTGCTGCCTTAAAACTGAATCTCTCGAGATGGCTGAACTAGCTGTGTTGCTAGTATTCATCCAGTATCAACACCAACAGGCATCAACAGGAGTTCTGTTAAGAGAACCGGGCAGTATGCACATGTGGTAAAGAAATATTAAAGTGGTGAATAACTCTTCTGAAGCTCATTGGTTTTCCTGGGACAGCTGTGTTGATGTTCGCACTCGTGGTGCAGCAACACTAGTGAGCAAAATCACTGTTTCCAGAATAAATCAAGCATAGTCACTTTGTTCTTCACCACTGCATACGTAGTAACACTGCCAGTTTCACCCCAAAATGTGATGAAGCAGTATAAAATATTAATTTTACTAAGTTTTACGCTAGCAAATACTTCTTATATAAAAAAAAAAAACAACACTGTGTGTGGTGAAAAGGAAAGCATGCACAATGCCCTTCTGCTGCATGACAAATTGGGACGGTTTCTGGAGGAAAAGCACTTGCAAGTGTGAGATCTGCAAGACCAACTAGCCACCTTTTTGTCAAGGAAATTTACTTAGAAGAAGGGCAAACAGTGGTTACTCAGAATTGAGTATTTGGCACATACTTTCTCAAAAATTAGCGAAATGACCCTTATATTTCAAGGAAAAACAAATGACAGTATTTTGTAGCCAATGATAAATTTGAGTTTTTAAGCAGAATTTGAATCCTGGAAAATTCATCCCTTCCAATGGGAGCTTAACAGCTCCCCAAACCTGAAGACATTTCTGATGGGCTTGGTGCTGAGAAGAATGGATGTAAGTTTTGATGCTATGAAATGAAATATGTCAAGGTTGAAAAGGTCTACATAACTTAATAAACCAGTATTTTCCAAATTAGCCATGCATAAGGCTACAAAATCTTGCTTAGGCAAAAGAGTTATTAAAAGTATACCATAGACATCCAATGGGTTTTATTGTAACAGTGTGAAAAGCTTGTTGTTATAATTTCAGATTCTGCTTAACAACTAACCTTAAAACACTACCATTTTCAAATTCTGAAAATCCACAATTATTTGAGATAGCTACTGCAATATTTCTGTCTTTTCCAATATATCTCTATCAGGCTGAATCTTCTACACTTCAACAGAAACAACATACCAGGCTGTACTAGGCTGCACATAGACACATATATGAGAGCCTAGCTGCCTTCCATCAGACAATAAAGAGATTTGCAAAAATGTAAAATAATGCTGCTTCTGGTATATATGTTTTCTTGAAAAAGATCTCTTTTTCATAAAAATATGCTATTTAGATGAACATGTAATCAATTTATTATTTGAAAATGAATAAATATTTTTAAAACATGTTTTATTTTCAAATATGATAAAATATTGATAAATATAACCCACATTTTTTTTTTAAAGAGCTCACTAGGATCCTCAATAATCTTTAAGAGCATAAAGTGGTGCTGGGACCAAAGTTTGAAAACTGCATTTCCAATATGCTGAAGTATTCGAAGAAAAGGAAAAACAATGCCGGATGAGAGAGTAAATGGCATCACTTACAGCAAAAAGGCCTCATTCACAGCATCAAAGAATTCAGGCCAGAGCACTTCTTGAGGTTCATAGCCATGGTAGGTGAGCAGAGCCTCGACCAGTGGTTCAGCATCAGGCAGAGTTACGAGTGGTACACAAACTCGAGACAGGAACCTTATCTTTTCAGGAGCCATTCTATGGAATGAATAAGAAATAATCATCCAAATCTTAGAAAATCTTCATGCTGAAAACTGACAAGTTGCTTGCTTTGTCCCTCATATAAAGGAGGCTACCCTAACACCATCTATGAACTCTTCTCTTACTCCATTCTCTAGGAAGAAATCCTAAAGGACTAAAGTCCCATTTTAACACTGCTTATTGTCAAGACTTTGGCATAACTATCTACAGGCACCTCCAATTTACCAAGCCCAAAACAGAACTCTTGAACTCCTTCCACAAATAGTCTTTTCCCCAGTCCTGCCAATCTCATTTGCTCAGGCCAAAGCCTTTGAAGGCCAACCTTGCTTACCCCCTTTCTCATGTCCCTTACCTAATCCAGCAGTAAAAACTGTCAATTGATCTGACAAATTCTCTACGTGTGCATCACTACCCCCAAATTCACCATCCCCTCCAGCCTGGATTATCGTAGGAGCCTTCTAACCTTCTCCCTGCTTCTGTCCTCACCCCTACTGTTTATCATCAGAACAGTTCCAGCTACCCTTTAAAAATTCAGATCACTTCACTTGTCTGCTCAAAGCTTTGCAATGGCTTCCCACCTCAGAGAACAAGCAAAGTCTTATACTGGTCGCCAAGGCCTTCCATGACCGGGCCCCTTCTGTTTCTCTGGCTGCATCTCCTACTCTTTCCCTTGCTCATCCTACTCCAGCCATACAGCCCTCTAACTACTACAGGTGAGATCCTGTTGTTCATTCTGCCTGGAACTCATGGCTAGCTAGCTCCTTCATTTCACATACATCTTAGCTCAAATGTTGCTTTATGTGATGGCATCCCTAACCATCCCATTTAAATGTACTAACCAATATAGTAGCGATCAGTCACATGTGGCAATTTAATTTAAATGAAACAAAATTCCAAATTCCTTTTCTTAGTTGCACCAGCCACATAACAAATGTTCAGTGGGTATATGAGGCTAGTGGCTTACAGACTGAACACTGCAAATTTCCAGAACTTCGTAACTGCAGGAAGCCCCAGTGGACAGCAGAGCTTAATAAAGAAAATGCCCTCTCACCCCACTGTGTTATCTCCTATGTCTCTTACCCTGTTTTACTTTTCTTCAGAATACTTTTCATCACCTGACCTATAATGTATTTATTTGTTTATTGTTCATCTTCTGTTTCTTCCTGTTAGGGTATCAGCTTTATAAGGCCAGGTACTTTTTTCTATTTTGATCTCTGCTCCATTCCTAGCATGCAGGAAATGATTCCCTACACATACTATTTGCTCAAGAAATAGATGTTACATGAATTAATGAAGGACTAGAGATCAATAAAATGAAAGTCTGAGATGTATGCCATTAGAGCTTTCCCTAGCTATATTCATATATAATTATAAATCTAGAAATTTAGCTTGTGCTTTTTGAAACACAAATGGATCCACAGCAGAGAACATAAAGCTGTCCCTCATTTTTTTTTCTTGCTACCTCATACTAAAAACTGTGTGTTTTAGGGGCACCTGGGTGGCTCAGGTTAAACATCCGACTTCAACTCAGGTCATGGTCTCATGGTTTGTGAGTTCAAGCCTTGCAATGGGCTCTGTGTTAACAGCTCAGAGTCTGGAGCCTGGTTCATTTGGATTCTGTGTCTCCCTCTCCCTCTGCCTCTCCCCCACTTGCGCTCTGTCTCTTTCTCTCTCTCTCTCAAAAATAAACATTAAATTTTTTTTTAAAAAACCTGTGTTCTATAATTTAACAAAGCCTCTATGTATAGGCATTTAGGTTATTTCTCACTATTACTGCTGAGGATTACTGTTATTATTACTGCTATAGTTTATTACTATAAATACTGCTGCAGTGGTATCTATGCATATGTCTATTGGTGACCCTGTCTGAGTATTTGCATATTAACTGCATTCCAAAAGACTACCAGTTTACTTTCCCCCAAACTCCCACCCAAGTCCTAAATCTCCTTGTGATACATTCAAACACATTAGACATGTTACCATTTCCATCTTAAAGAAATCTTCCCTAGAACCCTCTGACCTGTTCCAATCCAAGCAGATTGCTTTTTATTCCCTCTGTACAGTTATCATCTTGGTCTCTGTCCTGAGGATTTTCTTCACTTCTCTCCTAATTATCTTTTTCTTGGTTCATTCTTATGTGGGAAAAGGTACATGAGAGAGAAAGTACTTGAGACCTTGCATGTCTGGAAATACCTTTATTTTATTCTTACACTTGATTAACACTTTAGCTGAGTATGGAAATCTTGTAATTTTCCAACAAAATTGTGAAAGTGTGGTTCTATAGTCTTCTAGCTTCCTCCAATGTTGTTTCTGAGAAGTCCCATGCTATTATGAATCTTCATCCTTTATATAAGTCCTGTTTTTACTCCCTGGAGGCTTTGGGAAATCTTTGAAATTTTACACTGATATGTTTTGGTATGGATTTATTTTTATTCATTGCGCTGGGCACTCAGTGGATCTTAAATCAGGAAAGTTCTACTGGGTTTCTTCTTTGATAATTTCCTATCCATTTTTTAATCTGTTTTCTATGAGAACTCCAATGTTTCTGGATATTGAACTTCCTGGAAACTTTGCTGTATTTTCTTTCTTATTTTTCATCTCTTGATTTTTTTTACTCTAGATTTTAAAAGAACTGTTCAAATTTATCTTCCAATCATTTTATTAAGTTTTTCATGACCAATCTCTCATGATTAATTTACAAGAATTTAAAATTTTCTTAAGTTTATTTATTGAGAGAGAGAGAGAATGAATTCCAAGCAGGCTCCACACTCTCAGCCTGGAGCCCAATGTGGCTCAAACTCACAAACCATGAGATCATGACCTGAGCTGAAATCAAGAATCAGATACGTAGCTGACTGAACTGCTCCATAAGGCAGGAGTATTTTAATGGCTGCTTCCTATGTGCATATTACCTTTTGATACTAGACCAAAACTCAAGCACTGTCCACCCCAGCTACTAGAAGCCTGCCTAGAAATGCAGGTACAGCTCTCTGCCATTGGTCTAGGGAATTGGTAATAGGTAGTCTCTATCATGGTAATAGCTGAGATGAACAACAATTTACTGGCCAAGCCTTCCCCCGAAAGCTGTAAGCCTTCAAACAGACTTCAGAGTTCCAGAACAGTTACATCAGACAGAGTCTGTCAGTAAAATTTTTGTCTACATAAAGGATGGATTCCTGGCACTTCCTACTCCATCATCTTCCCTGACATCCCCTTCTCATCTCTTGTATTAAAAAGGAAAAACAAACACAAAAACAAAAACCAACCCCTACCTTCTTACTCTCTACTACTCTGTCCTTTTGTACTTTATCCTAGGAGAACTATTTGGCTCAATCTTTGAAGACATTACTTGCTATTCAGCTGTATTTTCTATTCAGTCTCTTACTCATTTTTTTTCTCTATGAATCCCCTCTTTTAAAAACATAACCAGTTTATTTTTATTTCAAGGATTTGACAGTTTCTCTTATTATTCTTAGGACATTAATTATCATCCCTCTTTTTTAAAACCACTTGCTTGTCTTAGGTAATGCATCTTCTGTTTTGTGGCATTTAGTTCATCTTTTCTTATGGTGTTGGTTTTCTGTGAATATCTAGGGATTTTTGTTTGCTCTCTCTGGAATTTGAGATTCCCCACTAGCTTCTCCATGAATGCTTTTTACCATAGCCCCCTCTGGGACTTGTGGGGAAGGTCAGGATGTATTCCCAGTTGGGGATGCCAATATGCATTCTGGGCATTGCAGCATCCCCAGAACAGCTGGGAATTAAGAGTCATTTGATGCTCACTCCTCCTCCATGTCTTCCTCCCTCCTTCCTGCTGGAAACAGGACAGTTTGGTTGTCTCTTATTTGAAGGCAACAGATAAGGAGTGCATGAGGGCCTAGCCCTTAGCTGGCTTCTGTGAATTGTTGTAGTGCAACAGTCTGTCTTGTTGGCTACCAGGTACCTCTGCTCCATGAATCCACTCCACTGTTACCTTTATCTTTTGCAGTAGTCCTCGCTTGCAAGCTTTCTGGGCTGTGATATTTTCCTTCAAAAATATCCCACAACCTGCAATTGGAGCCTTTCTTATAATGTGTGGGTCATCAAATGCTTCTTTGTTTATTAGTATTATATATTTGTTAAAATTTCTCCATCATTTCTAAGTGTTGGGAGGATAAAGTGAATGCCAGGCCATGCATGAGTTTAGTTCATCACTTGATTTTGTCTATTACATTTTCATCTTATGCTCTTCCACTTTAATTGTTCAGGATCTGGCCAAGTTCTCTACATAAGAGCTACTCAAAATATGGTCCTCAGAATCAGCAGCATCAGCACCCCTGTGAATGGGGCCTATAAACCTGTTCCTTAACATCTTAACATCAGGGGATTCTTATGCATACTGTAATTTGAGAAATACTGCTCCACACTACTTCTTCAGTAGCAGTCCCCAAAACTAGATGATTATCAATCTCTAGTAACAATCTGAATACTTTAAGAGACATGATAGAACTATATTTAAGATTTATTTTTTGTTAGTTAATTCTTATAAATTTTTAGTTTAGTTATATTTTCTTGATAATCAACAATAAAATTCTAAGAGATAAAATTTTTGTCAAACTGCACTAATGATTTCTTATATATGAACAGTTTGTCTTTTCTCCTCAAATAATCATCTCTTCTACAATTCTTGTTCTTTACCATTTTCCTTAAATGACTGAGGTCTCTTCAACAACAGGTACCTTCCACTATGCTCTACCATCTTTCTCTAACCCACGACCAAGGTGGTTTTAGATTTATAAATAATTAATCTGTTTTTGAGTCCATCACCTAAGTTTAATGAAAAGACATATTTATCTTGAGTTGTAAATACCTTAAAGCTTTGGAATTTATGAACGTACTGGGTGGGATAAGAGAAGGGGAGATTGTTGTGTGTATGTATGTAATGTGGAATGTTTTTCATGTATATTTTGCATAGAGTAATAAGGGCCTGATGGATATTTGAGAAATGGAAAAATAGT